TTTATACTTTAGTTCAAGCATGAAAAAAATGAACATTCAATTTTAAATAAATTCTAAGTGGATTTGAAGAAACATGTTTCAAATTTTACCAATCTTGACAGATGAATTATGGTGGCTTTAGATATCTATCTGGTTCCTATCTTCACTAACCATTTAGGGCATGCTAAATGGAAATGACTTTCACAAAACTATAATTTATGAATAAGTTCAAGTATAATTCATTTGTTCCGAGCATATCCTAAGTATAGACTTGTTATTTATTTATTCAAGATCCTATGTAATCATTTCCTATCTAGTATTCCAGACATGATGGCATTTCTAAGACCCCTATAAATAATTAGATGATATTATATTATATTAAGACTGCCTATGAATAAATATACAAATGCACTCATTGGTTGATTGTCTTAACAACCTCTTACTGTAATTATATATTGTATCTTCTGGATTTTCAATGTCTGTGGTTGTAAGTCGAATATGTTTCTCCCTTTTTTGTCCTTTTTGCTTTAAAGATTATTGTGTAACCTCCAAACAAAAACACACGAAAATACAGCATAGCTTGAACCAAAACTTTTTACAGAAGAAAGGACTTACCAGTCATTGAACTTAGTGATTAGTGACATCAATATCTTGATTGAGAAGATTTTTTCCAATTTCAAAATAGTGGGACCAAGAATTTTTGGGGCCATTACTATAGTCCCAGAAATGTAAATTTTAACATGATTAAAATATTTACCTCCACAGCTGCCTTGCAAAACAGCACCATCCTTTTCAAGATATCCTGTAACAAAAAGCCAAAGATATGTAAAATTCAAAGTGTTTAAGGATGATGCTGAAGTATGATATCAATAAACTAACTATGGTCTTCACTAAGAGGTGCGAGCAAGACAGGAAGCAGCACTGCTCTATTGCAGGATATGGGACAAGTACAGCATTCTGGGAAAAGGTTGCACAGCGTTCTAGGGAGGGACTTATACACAATAGAAATTGGATTGTTTTGATGATGTTTAGTAATTAGTTTGCTCCATTAAAAGAAATTCCAGATTTGTCTTAGCAGTGTTATGATCTAATACATCGTGGGACTTGGCTCTCCATAGGAAATAATGTTTTCCTTAATTCTTTTCATGTTTCGGATAAATTTTCATGAAATGACCATAGTAATTTATGAATTATATACATCTAGCAGTCTTCAGATCTGGGTGCAGCTATCTTAGTCTTACCAGTTGGCTTCCTCCATATATGCTGCTTCCCAAGTGGCGAAACATAGGAGTATCCATAAAAACAAAATCCACGCCATCAATATAGGCTTGGAAGTAAGCCACCTCGAAGTCCTGTAGAGTAAGATTATTACAAAATTTTTCTGTTTGATAACATTAACCAAATAACCAGATAGGGAATGAAGTACAGCTAGGTACTCCAGAGTATTTGTACCTGACCATTCACCTTATACCGCTTACGAACTCCTGAATCTTGAGCTTCAGCATAGTCACCATATCGAGGTGCCACAACCTAAGAAAGAAATGGTGGAAAGGAAAAAGAAATTGAATAAATCTTATTGAGCTTGACTGGTTTCTAACTGATGTTGGAAAGTAAATTAAGCAATCAATGGAAGATATCCAGACTCCACGCTATCTGGATCCATGATGTTAAACATACAGAAAGAAAATGCTTGTGGCAGACAGGTAGTAAATAAAATAATTTTCCAGCTCACAAAACGTTCACTGAGATTCAGTTAATAATTGAAAAAGATATATTCCAAAAGAAGAAAAATATTACCATAACCCTATGCCCACGCCGAGCTAAAGCCTTCGGTAAAGCCCCAGCTACATCTCCAAGCCCACCTATGACAACTCTTTCTATGAGTCCATAGGCCAGATTAAGAATAAGGATATACAAGTCCATGGGTGTACGTTTGTGTGAATGTATGTACACAAGCATCTGTTCACAGTGCAGAAATCTAATTTTATCTAGTCCAGGATAAAGAGTATGTTCACAGCTTCAAATATGATTATGATTATATAAGTTACCAAGTATAGGGGATTGAATTCAACCATCAATTACCCTTGTCAAGAAGATAATAGTCAGTCCATCAAATGAAGCTGCACAAATGGGCATGCATGTCTAAATAGGAGTAAAACAAAGTTGAGTTCACCAGTTAATATGAAGTTGATGAAATTAGCGGCCAAGAGAACAATAAGCTGTTTTGACACAATAAGCCAGTTTAGATTGATAAGATGATTGAAAAATCTCTTGTTATACCCAAAGTCTTGCCTTAGTTTTACTGAGATTAACTGTTACCATCCCAAGGAACAATGTTATCACTTTTTAGTGGATGAAATAAAAATCATTTGTTCCATTATGGGATGAACCATGTTTCAAACCAACAAATCCATAATATATCTACTCAGTCTGAAAGGAGAAATACCACATACACCCATGGAGGAAAAATCTCCTAACAAACAAAATCCATGGAAGAGAATCCTTTAACAAAATTTAAAATCATCTAATCTAAGAATATCTTCTATGAAGTATCAAAGGATGAAAACCTTTTAACAAAAGTTATTACCATCTACAACATGGAAAATATAGAATACCTGTTTTTGACCATGGAGCACATTCTGCAGCTACTAATATAATATTCATAACATTTGCCCCAGCCAACGGAGGGGGTTTTTCATATTCGGCAATAGGAGGATTTATTTCACTGCTAGTCAGTTCCAAAACTTGGCCTGCCAAATCTTCATGCTCTTCATCCTTTAAATTGGATTTGTTAGAGGCATTCGAGAGAAAAGATGGCAGCTCATCAGACCAAACCTCCTCTGATTTAGTCTTACTCAACTGTTTGGTTGAAACTGCGTTGGGGGAGACCTTGTTTGCAGGCAAGCTCTGCCCTGTTTCCTTTACTGAGGAAACCTTGTTTGGAGGCAAGCTCTGCCCTCGTTCCTTTACTGAGGAAACCTTGTTTGGAGGCAAGCTCTGCCCTCGTTCCTTTACATCTTCACCAGAACCATTACTGACAGCTGATGGCCGGAACTCTGGAGCTCTACTTGTCTTTGAGTGTGCATGGCTGCTTGAAAGAGTGCTAGCATTTTGGTTTCCATCAATATTTTTAACACTGGCTGAAGGGGGATCAATGGTAGAAAGAGATTTGTTCCCTAGTTTACAAGAAACTTCATTTTCTTCTAGGTTGTTAATGTTACTTTTTATGGATGAAATCAATTTCCTTCTTTCAGAAATCTGCTGAATATTTAAACATTGATTAAAAGCATGTAAATTCACAAAGAGCAAGCTAATTACATACGGAATTTGTGGGTATTTTCCGAGAAAGGAAACTTTTCGACCCAGAGAAT